GGTTGGCAATCGGTTGAATGAAATAATTCGGTTCGGTTAACCGATTAAGGAAATTTTTCTCGGTTCAAATCACTACCAGTATCTCTAATCTTGATGATAATAAATATCGGGTCAACGGGTGACCTGTTTATTAACAAGTGATCCGTCTACAATGCTAAATATAAGCACTATCTCTGGCTTTTCTTATTATTACATATTTATATACAGTACTACAGCTTCGTTCACACAACAGCCCAATGTAGATCTACATAATATATTTAATGCATATTTATTCATACACTCACCTGTGAATTCTCATATTAAGATCAGTGTTGCTTCAATGTCTCAATGTTAGATCTGAGGAGCCAAGTTGGTTTTTGTTAATTAAAGGTTGGTATCAGATATGTATGTACGTACGTAACGCCAAAAAAATTACCAACTAGATTTAGCCAGAGGTGAGTTGAGGAATTTGATCTGAAACCTGTTCCGAAGTATGATCCGAGATCTACAATTAACCAATAAAAACGAACTTCTTCAATGCTATCAAAATGGCATTTAGTTAGTATTAGTGTTCCGCACGGACTGGATCGGACGGATATTTCTAAGGATTCGGATTCGATCCAAAAAACCGAATCGGATCCAAGCTTGGATCCGGATCCGTTTCAATTTCGGATTCTTTCGGATAGCCTTACATTTATGTTCGGAATGTTTCGTAACATTAAGTTTATAGTTACTCTAACGGATCCCAATGTGGATCCGTGCCTGACGAATCTGAAAATTATGGACCCGGATCCGATCCGGTGAACGGATCCGAATCGAATCCGAATCTTCGGATCCATTTTGCGGAACACTAGTCAGTACCGCTACCAAAATTATTTATTTAAAAAAAAAAATCATAGATTTCTAATTATGGAGGTCGTCTAAAGCCAGGTGCGTTCACGTGACTTACAACCAATCAAGGCGTAAATTTTGGTTTACCCGGATCAGCCCGACGAGACAAAAACAAAGAAAAAAAGTGAAAAAAACACGAGAAACGAGTATCTAAACCTACCTCGGTGCACTAATAAAAAATGCCGGGAAGACAATTTTACCTATAAGCCTTGCCCTAACCTTAACCCCTAATTAATCCTTACCTTAATTTTAATTAAATAATAAACGCACCGGGCTTTAGCCATCCCCTAATTATGTTAAAATTGCAGATCATTTTACCAGATTTAAAATTGGTTTGTTATAGATCTGGCTGAATAATCTGCAAATTTGACCAGAATTATGAACGATCAGTTCCTCTATTTATCAGATGAGCAGACCTGCTGATATGATTTATTACTGAATTATGCTGTGATTATTATTTTGTCAACCAGGACATTAAAAATCTGGCATCGGCTATAATTTTAGCCGGTGTTATGATCCGGGAGAGAGCTTTACTAAACTTGAACCAATTTAGCTTTGATCGTGAACAATATAATGATTGAGGTTGAATGTTTTAAATCATTAATTAACACACATTATCATAGTTTATAAGGTTTCTCTTTATCTATACTATCTAATTCAGAGTTTTACATTTTGGCTATTTTCATTGGTTGTCGGTAAGTAGCTCGAGGTCTGTATGTACATAGCTAATTTGGTAATTGTAGTTGTATTTGATTTGACAAGGATTTTATCGATCACTTGCATAATTACATAATAGTGATCGATTGTCTGCAGAAAATGTTAATTTATATATCATACATATGCAAGTCAGTAATTATTATGACATTCGCTACCAATGTCTGCATAATACGTAAATATCAGATGTAGCTCATTATTATTACAATATTCACTATTAAAGGTTTAGAATTTATGGTTCTAGCGATTTCTTTTTCCCAGAATCTTTTATCTGAAATCTAAAATCTAAAAAGATTATTATTAACTTAATTTAATGGTTATTTCTACATCAGCTAATTACTGATGTAAGCATTTACTTATAATACAGAGGCTAACTAATCAAATACTAATTTTAATTTTATGTAGCTGGCAAAGTGAGCAATAACGCTGATATATATGATAATATATGTATGTCAAGATGAAATTGAACCCACCACATCGTGAAATTGTGAAAGAGTACTATAGAAAATTTGTCTTTTCCTGATATAGAAAATACTTTAGTATCGTATTAATTATGTATCTAAAAATTTGACAAAATGCGTAATATTAATTAATAAATTAAAATAATAATTCACATCCTTTTTTCTTATAATAATGAATAAACAAAAATTGTAATTCTTATCTTTTTTTCTCAAGCTAAAAAAATTTGGCAATTCAACGTATAACTGGAATCTGACAATGTTGAAAAAAAAAATATAGAAACATTTAAATAGTCATGAATCGTGCCGAATTGTACAAACTTATAAACCAATAATACTTTGATTTTTACTGGTATTATTTATCTTCAACATTTATGTTTGCCAAGAATGCTACCTGTCCGTCGTTTACTTCCACGAACTGTTAGAAATGCTGAAGATATCCGAACTGATAGTTTTATTCAGAATCAAAGGTTTCGGCGAATACAAACTTCGACAATAAAACAACAGAGAGGATATAAAATTGGTTTGAATTTTCAAGAAACAACTACTGCTGTTCGTCACTTGCTGAAACTTCCTCGCATTTGTCCTTACTGTAATGCTAAACTTTTTGCGGGAGAAAGTAAAAGAATGTGCTGTATCACTAGAAAAATTAAGTAAAGTAAAATAATAGCTAATAATTCATCAATAATAAATCTACATAATACATTAATAATTTATATATATTTAATCTATATACATATATATATATTAATAGATTAGCTTCAATTGAATGTATTGCACCCTTGAAGGATTTATTTACAAGACTTGATAATATAGGAAACGAATTTCATAATAATTTCACGCTTATAATAATGTTTTTGCTTTTACTTCTATGGGAGTCAAAATAGACGAAAATCTTGCTAATGGTAAAATCAAATTCAATTTAATTAATAATACGCGTATATAATATGTGTATAATAAAATTTGTTAATTTCTTAATAGGAAAGATGGAGTATATACATTTCAGATCCAAGGTGGCATATATTATTCTATAGGATCTCTTCTTCCTGATAATAAAATGTCAAAATTTCTGCAATTATATATTTACAATATGGAACATGAAATAGATAATAGGCTAACTAGAATATCTAAACTTTGTCGCGAAACTTTAGAAGTTATCAAATTAATACTAAACCAATATAATCCATTTATTGCTAATTTCCGCTCAATTGCTTCTCATAATAATATAACAAACCTTTGACTTCTTATTAAAGCTGACTACGGCTTAGACCAACGAACATATAACATTCCAACAGCTTCACAGGTTGCAGCCATATGGGTTGAAGGTCATGAATCTATAGATCGCATGAAACGAGACATCATTGTAGAATCAAAGTCTAATGGCTTGCAACGAGTTTCTGAATTGAGTGGCTCTTACGACCCAATGCAGTATCCACTTTTTTTCCCACAAGGTGAACATGGCTGGCATCCTGATATACTACAAAATATGTCACAAAAATAGTAACTATCAGACAGTACTATGCATACAAGTTACAAATACGTCAAAATTCTCTGTCGTTACTTCATTATGGAGGACGGCTTCTTCAACAATATATCGTCAACAATTATGTAAAAATTGAATCAGAACGACTTAATTATTTACGTTTAAATCAAGATACGCTTCGAAAAGAACTCTACCAAGGATTACACGATTCATACCAATCAGGAGTAACAAGTGCATCAGAAGTAGGAACTAAAACTATTTTACCATCATCCTTTATGGGCAGTCCACGTGATATATATCAATGTTATCAAGATTCTATGGCATTAGTACAAACCTTTGGCAGGCCCGACTTATTTATCACTATAACATGTAATCCCAGATGGCCCGAGATTTCTTCTGAACTTTTACTAGAACAAACTTCTCAAGATAGATCTGATCTTACAGGTATATAGATATATTATTATAATAATGAATTTATTTATTTAATAAATTTATTTATTAAATAAATTTATTTAAATAAATTTAAGATTTTTTTATTGAACTCAGATTCTTTTACTTGATAACAATCACATAACACAATATATATTAAATAAAAGATATTAAACTTTATTATCAAGTTTACCCTTATTTATTTAATAATTAAGTTTTTATTAAGGCCGTTTAATGTCAATTATTAAGTTAATGTTATCCCCATTCGGCTAACTTTCAAAAATCAAGCAGACCGACCTCAACACAAAATAAACTCTACTAATTATTATGTAATTAAAATCAGCAAAAAAAAAAAAAATCCTTAAAAAATATAACTTTATTCAGATTTTTTGCCTTCATTTTAAACCTAAGCTCAAGAAATTAACATTAACAAATATTTAACTTTAAACGGCCTAAAAACTCGGTTTTGTTAAATTGTATCCAATTAACAAAATTGAAATTGTTAGTTCAATGTATTAAATCAAATATTTAAAAAATTCACTTAACATACAATCAACTATCTCAAAATATATTAATTATTATTACAAGATCATATCACAAATTATCCAATATCGAATATTCTAACCTAATATAAGCAAATCTATAATCTTATTACAAATTTAAAACTTGCAGCCCGAATTTTTCATGCAAAATTTAAAGAAATTACAAAAGATATCTTTGACCAAAGTATATTTAGCCATGTAATTGCACATATGCATGTAATAGAATTCCAAAAACGTGGACTTTCACATGCATATTTGTTAGTAATTATCCATTCTAACGACAAATTTTGCGGAGCCGATTATTATGACACTATCATTTCTGCAGAAATACCAGATCCAGAAACAGAACCAAGTTTATACCAAACTGTTACATCAAACATGATGCATGGTCCATGTGGAAAATCTAACCCAAAAGCACCTTGCATGAAAAATGGTGAATGTTCTAAAAATTATCCCAAAGAATTCGTCCAAACAACAAGAGAAGAAATAACTCTTACCCAATATATCGTCGTCGCAAAAACAGACGTCAAGTATTGTGCAAAAATGAGTGGTTAGATAATCGTTGGGTAGTTCCTTATAACCCTTACCTATCTTTCAAATACAACTGTCATATTAATGTTGAAATTTGCTCAAGCATAAAATCAATTAAGTATTTGTACAAATATGTCTATAAAGGACATGACCAGGCTGCACTTCAAATAGCCAACGAAGATGAAATAAGTCAATACCTTGATGCTAGGTGGATTTCCGCCCCAGAAGCCTGCTGGAGAATTTTTGGATTCGAAATATCTCAAATTAACCCATCAGTAGTTCGTTTACAAATCCATCTCCCACAACGACAAACAATAATTTTTCCTCAGAACGTTAGTCTTAATGAAATAATCAATGATGATTTAAATAAAAAAACAATGCTAACTGAGTATTTTGAAATGAATAAAAGTGATTCCGATGCTAAGAATTATCTATATCGTGAGTTTCCACGTTACTACATTTGGAATAAAACAAGTAAAAAGTAGACAAAATGTAATCAAAGAAATACAATTGGAAGGATATATGCCATAAGTCCAAAAGAAGATGAAAATATTACCTACATCTACTTTTAAATAATGTCAAAGGTGCCACTTCTTTTAATAATCTAAAGAATGTAAGAGGATATATATGCACAACTTTTCAAGAAAGTGCATTAAGACACGGAATTATAGAAATGCAGAACCTATACAATATCACCATGCAAGAAGCTGTCTAATTTCAAATGCCTTATACTCTAAGTCAGTTATTTGCAATTATTTTAATATTTGGGGAACCAGGAAACGTTCAGACTTTATGGAATAACAATTTTGTCGCTATGTCAGAAGATTTTATGAAAAGTGGAATTCTTGATGATCAACGTCATATTAATGCAGTTCTACTTCATATTAAAATTATATTAGAACAACATCACAAGAAATTAACCGAATTTGACCTTCCCCCACTAGACTTATCAGAAAAATAATACAATAGAGAACTACCAAGATCTATATTAGAAGAACTAAATATTCCAATAAATAATAATGATCTAGAAAAAATTGCATCACTAAACGAAGATCAAAAAATAATATTTGACAAAGTTATGGATCATATTGAAAAAAATCAACCGGGTGTCTTTTTTGTTGATGGTCCCGCTGGATCAGGGAAAACCTTTCTTTATCTTTGCTTACTTAGCAAAATCTGTTCACAATCTTCTGTTGCTCTCGCTACAGCTTCATCTGACATTGCTGCGCTGATTATGCCTGGAGGAAGAACCGCCCACTCCCAGTTTAATATACCCCTGAACCCAGATTCTAATTCAACATGTTCTATTAGTAAACAAAGTCAATTAGCCTCATTATTACGCTTTACAAAATTGATTATATGGGATGAAATCCCTATGGTAAATCATTACGCTGTAGAATCTTTAGATCGAACCTTGAAAGATTTAATGGAATGTGAATTCCCATTTGGTGGAAAGCTAATAATCTTTGGCGGAGACTTCCGCCAAATATTACTTGTTGTTCAAAGAGGAAGTCGTGAATAAATAATAAATGCTTCATTAAAATGATCTTACTTATAGCCTATAATTGAAATTTTCAACTTAAAATAAACATGAGAGTTCAAAACGATTATAACAATAAATATTTCAAAGAATTTTTATTAAATATTGGAAATGGAACAGAACCAACAATCAATAATGACATGATTCACATTCCTGACCACATGGTTATTCTTTGGAAAAACGAAGAATCATTACAAAATCTTATCGAATACATCTACCAAAACTTAAATAACCATTATTTAGATATTTCATACATTACTGACCACGCAATTCTTACTACCAAAAATGAATATGTAGATTACATTAATCACATAATCTTGAACAAAACACTTGGTGATACCATAATATATCGAAGTTACGATTCAGTTCCAGATGACACAAATGGACTTTATCAACAAGAATTCCTCAACTCAATAACACCAAACAGTCTCCCTTTCCATGAATTACGACTAAAAGTAGGAACACCAATTATGTGCCTCCGTAACTTAGACCCAGCAAATGGTCTGTGTAATAGTACAAGATTGATATGCCAAGCATTTTACTCTAATATAATAAAAACTACAATAGCTACCGGCAGTCATAAAGGCAACACTGTATTTCTTCCGTGAATACCACTATTTCCTTCTGAAAACGTTAACCTACTGTTATAGAACCGTTTATTATTTTATTAGATTATTATTCCGATATTGTATAATTATTATTATTATTATTTTATT